TTGGGGATTTATGACCCTTTAAAGATAACGCAACATTTTATGTCAATATTACTGAATGCTAAAATGGAATTTTTGATTGAGACAGATTTCAAAGTGAGATGCCAGAGAAGAATGAAAAGTTTCTCATAGTAGGTGAAGATACATAAGTAGTTCACCAATGTTGAGAAAATAAAATGGCCAGAAGCTGGAGAGCAGAGGGGACATTTTAAGCAAGGTGATCTCATGTTTGGCCCCTCCAAAGCTAAGAGCAGTGACTGACTCACTGCTTTCTGGCCAGGCAACCCAAACGGGCTGGGCTGGGACTATTCAGAGAGAGTCAGAGCTGAAGCGAGAGTGATGTACAAAGGGTCCACACACTCCAGCCAAAAGAAACCATAGGGTTCCCAGGCTGAGGACGGGCAAACACCAGCTGGAAAAGAAAAACATTATGCTGCTATGAGAGGCAGAATAATATTCCCCCAAAAATGTCTCCATTCTAACCCTGGGATGTGAATAGCTTGCCTTTAAGGGAAAAGGGGACTTTGTATATGTGACTAAGCTAAGGAACTTTAGATAGGGAGAGCATCCTAAATAATCTGGTTTGGCCAGGTGTAATCACAAAGGTCCTTGTGAGAAGGCTTTGGAGAGTCAGAAAGGGAGATGTGACCAGGGAATCAGAGGTGAGACAGTCAGAGAGAGATTGAAAGATGCTACACTGCTGGCTTTGAAGATGGAGGAAGAGACCAGGGGCCAAGCAGCTCAGGCAGCATCAAGAAGCTGGAAAAGGCAAGGAAATGGGACCTTCCCTAGGGTCTCCAGAAGAAATGCAACCCTGCTAATACCTTGATTTTAGTACTTCTGATCTCTAGAACTATGAGCTAATAAATTTGCATTGTTTTAAGCCACTGTTGGTGATAACTTGTTACTGCAGTCAGGAGAAACTAACACAGCTGCTAAGAGAACTGAGAGGGGTGGGTGGGGGGTAACTATCACTGGAGGCTGAAAGAGAGCCAAGAAGGGGCGTGTAGAACAGTCAGCTTTAAAATTCCACCAAGTTTGGGGAGCACTGAAGCTGGAGCCAGTAGGAACTTGTCAGTCCCTCTGTCCCTTCTTCCTCCTCTAGTGCCAGCACCAGAAAGGTCTTCAACCCTATGGTTATGAGGTGGGGGAGATAGAGTAGCTAGAGTAGATAGGGGAAAAGAAAAAGGGGAAAAGAAAAAGAAGCAATCACTTCTTCCCACATACAGGCCTCCAGGAGGGAGAAGCATAGCTTTCAACCACATTCAAAGCTCTAACTATATGGAGAGACTGGCATCTTATTTGCTGGTCTGAGGCTGTCTGGATTGTCTGAGAGTGCCATGAAGCGTTGCAGGGGACAAATGGCATGGCTGAATGTGTCTGAAAGGACAGTGGAAAGTGAAAATAAAACCACAGCGTGACTATACCCACAAGTAGAACCTGCTCCCCATGCGGGCCACATTATCAATTTTCTAGGGGGCATCACTTTCTCCAAGGGGGGCCATGTACCTCCTAAGGTTAAGAATTATAAACACAGAAAGAAAAAACCAGGTTTGGGCTTGAGGGAGGGCTTGTATCTTGGCAANGGTGGGGGGTAACTATCACTGGAGGCTGAAAGAGAGCCAAGAAGGGGCGTGTAGAACAATCAGCTTTAAAATTCCACCAAGTTTGGGGAGCACTGAAGCTGGAGCCAGTAGGAACTTGTCAGTCCCTCTGTCCCTTCTTCCTCCTCTAGTGCCAGCACCAGAAAGGTCTTCAACCCTATGGTTATGAGGTGGGGGAGATAGAGTAGCTAGAGTAGATAGGGGAAAAGAAAAAGGGGAAAAGAAAAAGAAGCAATCACTTCTTCCCACATACAGGCCTCCAGGAGGGAGAAGCATAGCTTTCAACCACATTCAAAGCTCTAACTATATGGAGAGACTGGCATCTTATTTGCTGGTCTGAGGCTGTCTGGATTGTCTGAGAGTGCCATGAAGCGTTGCAGGGGACAAATGGCATGGCTGAATGTGTCTGAAAGGACAGTGGAAAGTGAAAATAAAACCACAGCGTGACTATACCCACAAGTAGAACCTGCTCCCCATGCGGGCCACATTATCAATTTTCTAGGGGGCATCACTTTCTCCAAGGGGGGCCATGTACCTCCTAAGGTTAAGAATTATAAACACAGAAAGAAAAAACCAGGTTTGGGCTTGAGGGAGGGCTTGTATCTTGGCAAACCAGGGAAGTGGAGAGGGACGACAAGAAGAATCAGAGGGAAGGTCAAGAGAACAGGGAAAATGTGATGTTCACCCTGCTCACTTGTTCATGCCCCACTGCTCTGGGATTCAGTGTCCCCTGTGTCTCCATCACTTCCTATCCATCTAGACCTCCCACGGCCCTAGCTGAGGTAAGCTCAGTGGACAGAGGCCTCTGACCTAGCTTCTACCCAGATAATCTGGGGCAGCAGGCAGGGAGTGTTGCTGAGAGAACCACCCCCCAAAAGAGAAGAAGTAAGTGTTTGCGTAAGTGTATGTTTATGAGACACAAATGTATGCGAAAGGAATGAGAGGAAGTGAAGGTGAACTTACTAATCATTGCAAAATCTCCCCTGCTTTTCAGGTTGAGCTGCCAATGAAGAGGGCGGGGGAGGAGAGCTGTGGGTGTCTACCACAGGCAGGTTTAAATCCGGCCATGCCAGACAGGGTCAGTGGAAACCAACTGGACCTTGGCAGGACATTGAGGGAGTTCTTCCTCTTTTTCTCTAGCTGAAAGGCCATGGCCAGACCCTGGCAGGCCCCACAGATACTGTTGGCCATTCTGGTGGCCCTGGTGGCCCTCACCTACCAAGAAAAAAGGAAAACCTTTATGAGTGTCCAAGAAGTACCTGCATCAGAAACCAATGTGATAGCCACCATGCAGTTTGTGACCAAGGAGTTCAATAAGGAAAGTGACGACAAGTACAGCTTCCGGATTGTGCAAGTCCTGAAGGTCAAGGAGCTGGTTAGTGGGCTCATATCCCCTCTCCTCACCATGCCCCTATGNCAGCGTGTTTTCCTATTTTAAAAAATAAGTGAACATGATCGTTGACATACCTGGTGTCTGCTTCGGTTTCCCTGAGGCAAGGACTTGAGTGTACATGGATTACTTGGGAGGTGATGACAACAAGCACAGGGAGGGGAGTGAAGAGTTAGAGAGGACAGGAAGGTAGGCAGTACAGGTGTGTTAATGAGCAGGTAACTACAGTGGGCACCTGGGGCTCAGTCCTGCCAGGGACAACTAGGAAACTACAGAACACGTGCCTTTGGGTCAGCCCACAAGATGGTCCAGAAGAAACTTCCTGCAGGAGGTGACCCTGGAACAGAGTCCAGGAAGATGAGTAGATGTTAGCAAGGTGAAGAAAAGGGGAGCCTATTCACCAGAGGGAAGGCCCCAAGACTGAGCTAAGGCAGGGATGTGGGAGACAGGGTCAAGAGGCCACTTGCTCTAGGGAGGGTAGACAAAGGGAGTCCCTGAGAGCTCAGCCTCTCCTTTGTAGCCAAGACATTTCAGTTGGTTCCCAGACCCACAAAAGGAAACCTAGCCAAACCAAAGTCCCAAAGGACACTAGAGCCACCCCCATCTCTATTGGGGGACCATCCCTTCCAGGAAGAGTTTTGATGAACATGGCTTCCTCACTCTCACCTTAGTGTAGTGATATGCTTGTGCTCCTGGAACACGGACCCCCTGGGTGGCCACCTGACTGATTCCCCATGTTGATTTGCTCTGAGTCCAGGGAGCTGTTCTGTTATCTTGAACAAACAGTGTTTATGGGACATGAGGATGAATCCTCCTGAACTACGGGGAACCATGAAGAGGCAGTAGCAGGGCAGCAATGTTATCAACTGCAGTCACAAAACTTACAAAATTGCTGGAGTTGGAGAGTGTGTAAGGAGTTTTAGAAACCAGCCAGTTGAACTTCCTCACCGTGTCAATGACCTGAAACTACAATTTCGTGGTCAGATGACATAGTCCAGAAGACTTATTCCAAGCCTGTGGCCACAGGCACATTAGGCAAATCTGTGTAAACTTGAGATTAAATGTTCTGTCCAAGGTTGAGCAGGAAGTCTTTTTGACAGGTGGCAATTACCATCCCTTCTGCTTTCAATCTCAGCATCTGAACCAACTGTTAGTGGGATGTGAAGAGCC